GTGGAAGGGAAAGATGTAGTGGAACGATTAGTGCGACAGGTAGAATGGGGAGAGGGAGGGGTAGGCACCAGGGAAGTGGTAGAAATCGGAGAATCTCGATTTTGACTGATAAAAGGAATTTGATGGGAGGATAGAAGGAGTAGAGATAAGATGGTTCGGGATAGAGGGAAAAGATACTTGAGGAGAGGCCGAGAGATGATGGGAGTGAAGGACGTTTTGGAATAGGCAGAGATAATCTTGTCTGGCCTCACATAGAGTGAAGCCTTATTTAAATAGATAACTGTTACCTCAGATTCGAGTTGTTAGGCAGGGCAGTTCTAAAAAATACATTATGGCAGCCACCACAATTGACACGTGCGTGACTGAGCAGAGCAATTTGAATGGTCATGACCAGGTTGGGCTGTGAAGGGACAATGTTTGGCTGGGTGGCCAAAACGCCAACATATGGTCGGCAGGACACTCCACCAATATAAACTTCATGGGGGAGGTCAAGTCTACGGAAGCTAATTTTGGCAATATTGGTGTAGGACTTACGTTGGCCACTGGGGGGAATAGTGTAGCACTGGACTGCCACTGCATCATAGTCGAAGAAGCAGGTGAGCTGGTCGTTTTTACAGTTTGACCAGTCCTTACCGTAGACAGGATAATTAGTCGGGGAGATAGAAACAGTTCCGGTACAAGTATTAAGGGAGGAGTGAGCTTGGGCAGGAAAAGGTATGCCAGTGAGGTCAGTCAGGGTAGATAGTACACGAGCTTGGGACAAGGCGTGAATGATCGGAACGACTGTGAAAGGAAACTTTCCCTACTTGTTTTTAGAGAATTATTGGAAGAGAAGGGTATTGTCAGAGTACGGGGCTGTAGGGGGAATCACATAGAATCGATCCCATTTAACTGGGACAATAAGAGTACTCAAAAGAATTATAGAGGTGGAAGCAGTAGAAGGACAAGGGTGATGGGAAGACAGGGTAGAGTAGAGTGAGGTAGGGAGAAGGACAATAGGGATGAAGAGTAGTAATAAGGAGGGTATGGAGGCTGTGCGGTAGAAGTAGTAGATGCTAGGGGAAAGGAAAGGGTGTATTCTGAATGTCTCGGGTGGATGATTCGGAATGGAGTGAACTGACATTAAACATCGAGGAGGGGGTATTTGTAACAGTGGTCGGAGCCGTGATCTAAGGAGAGGTAGGTTTCGAGCTAAGCATTAACTAAGGGACTACCGTGCCCATGGTTTCCGGAGGCCGTCCATGACTGACACAAAAACAGGCCTTCATCCTTTCAGCACGGCTCTCACACCTTAGGAAGTGGGCAGAAGAAGAGGATGAAAGGGAAAAGGAAAGGGGAAGACAAGACCATGCAAAATTAGTTGAGTCCAGAGTATTCTACAGTCGTCGGCGGGAAGACTAATCACGAATCATGACGGCTGTAGCCGGACCCGGTACGGAGCCGAAATTGGTCCATAACGACTATACTTGACACCAGAGGGACACACACACACACACACACATATGTGTATCTATTTTTTCCTTTTTAACCTAATGTTATATTAATGATAAATTTATAGAAGAAAACTACACATATTAAAACTACATTAAAATCAAATGTATAATTAGAATATAAACAGTGATCAATTTGAAATATTGTACTTTTTTCTTTACAGCAGTCTCAGCGACCTATATGCAACATTCATTAATATCATCTCTGTCTTTACAATGCTTTATTTTTAACCAATAATCTATTGACAGATTGAGGGAGGAAGAGTGTACCCGGAGCCGGACTCAGTAGTTCTGTGGGAATCCTTTAAGCATGAAATAGTCGATGCAACACAGGAGTCCATTGGCGAACACCTGAAGACGAGGAATTTTATCTCACTGGAGACACTGGAAGCCACAGATGCGTGTTGCGTGACTCGACTGAATGGCAATCAGGATTTGTGCTGTTCCTTGGTGCGCAGGGATAGGACACCGTTGAGAAGGTACAAGGCATATTTCATCAGGAATCTTCCTGAAGAGATTGATAGTCCATTTCTTCGTAAATGACCTTCGGCCTGCCTACCAAGCCCTGAGAAAACTGAACTCCAAGCCCTCCTCGCAGATAACTCTCAGTGGATGGACAGATCATCTCATATCATGTTGGGGTCCGTAAACGTTGGGCTGAGTATTTTGAACAGTTGTACCGGGTAGACCCTCCAGCAGTTAGTCTGGACGCAAGTGGTGTCACAATCCCTCATTAGCGAGGAATCTCCTACCCTAACTGAGATCTGGGAGGTAATCTCTAAACTAAAGGGTGGAAATGCTGCAAGCACATGTGATGTCCCTGCTGAACTGTTAAAGCATGGGGGTGAACCTATGGCACGCGGCTTGCATACGTTCTTGACTGTCATCTGGCAGTTTGGTTCCATGCCCCTGACCTGCTCAGTATGCCAGGCAAGGTTTTCGCCCAAATTCTTCAGAAACGGATCTTCTTCAGAAACTAAAGCAACAGAGACCACAGCAGTCTTGATTCACTCTTGGCAAGTCTACATTAGACGACATCCAAGCATTGTGGAACACCGTCGTTAGTTCGGTCATGGGCTGTTTGCAGTCTACATCAACCTCAAGAGGCGTTTGGTTCGGTGCATCGAGAATCACTATGGGAGATCCTGAGACTTAGAGCAATTCCAACACGGATTATTGGTTTAGCAGCAAGCCTACTTACTAGTGCTGAAAGTGCCGTAAAGTGTGGTGGGGGCCTGTTGAACTTCTTCCCTGCTAACAATTTCCAACACTTGCATGGAGTGGATAATGAGCAGAGCTACTATCCAAAGTCATTGAAGCAACACTGGGCAAAACCAAGGTCACCGACATCGACTTTGTCGATGATGTTGCTATACTGTCAGAGTCTCTGGAATCACTGGTGGCGGCCCTTGATGCATTTACCAATGAGACGAAGGCCTTGGACCAAGAGGTCTCCTGGACCTAGACCAAGATCCAGTTAGGGAAACCTGTTCAGTCGATACAAACTTGCAGTGAGGACATTGAAATCACAGAGAGGTTTATATACCTTGGTAATGTATTGCATTTCCCTGGGCTGTCAGACCAGGAAGTCAGTAGATAGATTGGTCTGGGAGCAGAAGCCATGAACTCAGTCGGCATGAGAATTTGGAGACGTCGGTGCCTATGCAGAGGGACCAAGCTATGTGTCTTCAAGGCCTTGATACTATCTACAGCTTTGGGGTCTCGTCTTTTGTAACAAGTCCCTACGTCGCATCATGGGGTACACTTGGCAGTACCATGTGTCCTACCGACGCCAAAGCTGTCTGACCGGCGTGGGACGAGTTACTTGCTTAATCCAGGACTGCCAACTCAGGCTATATGGACACCTAGTTCGTTTACCTGAGGATGAGTAGGCCTGTGGGACGACCTGGGAAGTCATGACTTAGGTAGCTCAACGAGGAATGTCGCGAGGATCTAGAGTTGGGCCGAGGACCTGCCTGGAGGCTTGCCACGAGGGACCCCGTGGATGGAAGCGAAGGGCGGATGGGGCCATACGACCCCGTCGGTCTTAGCCCCCCCCCCTCCCCCCGATGATGAAGATTATATATCAAAGTTGGTATGCAAAATACGTACCTATCTAACTTTGATAATCACATACAGCGACAGGATGGGGTTTGGGGTGGAGCTACCGGGTAAGGAGGATCTTGTTTCACAAGGCGATATTTCTGGATTCCAAGAATGGTTAATAAAACTAATAAATATGCTAGACATCAAATGTCATATGGCATTATGGTAAAGTATTGTGGTAAAAAGGGTTAAAATGAGTTAACGATTAAGATAATTGGACAGAAGGAAAAGGAAAAGGGAAGAAAAAAATATGACCATGGAAAATTAGAGGCGAGGACTGAAGTCCAAGGCAAGGGTGATAATCAACTCAATCTCTGTCCCCTATGCCCTCCCACGACAGTAACGAG